GACATGATTCTGTGTAAAATGTTTCAGTTTGGTGTTTTAACATCTTAACACAGCTGTTTTGTTGCCAGAAAAAAGGGGAAAACCTCTTCTCATATATATGTGATGTTCGATACAAATAATACATTAACAGCATTGCAAAGCGTTTGTCCAGGATCCCCTCACTGAGCCGTAACATTCTCTCGAGGAGAGTCTTGCGTTGGGCTGCTTGGCATCGATGATGTTGCCCACGTGATGGTATCCTGATCTAGGTTTTGAATATGAATAAGACATTTCGGAGAGATAGGGAGTCTCAACTCGATTGTTAGGAGAGTCCTGCCCTCGGATGTTTGGCCATTTCCGCTCATGGGTGTTTGGCGTTCAGGAGGACAAATCCCCAACGCATACGTGGGGACAACCACCGCACTCCGCTGCGTATGAAATATCTCTAACAAGCCGGGATTTGTGTTCCCGCTTGGTGCTGTGATCGTTTTTTTATACACCGGGCTTCGCGTTGAGTTGTTATAAAAACTATTAAACATATAAATCTCTCCAACAAGCACCACGCAACAGATGGATTCACGAAATCCTCACTGAACCTCAAGACTTTCCCCGCCCCCCCCCCCCCGCCTCTTCCCACTGGGCTTCTGCTTCACAATTTTGTCCAAATGGGCACAGTCGCCTCGCTCTCGCATTGCGGGACGGGACTCGGAGCGCTCTTTAAAAGCCCACGCAGGCAGGGACGCACAGATCGCACTCCGGCCGGAGACCTCCTCGCGTTTGCGCGCAGGCAAAAAGGCGCAGCCGGTTATTGGCTCGAGCCTTCAGTGGTCCGCTGACGTTCGCACGTACGTACGCGCCTCGAAATTCTTTCGCACAGTACATAGCCGAACCGTGCTCATCGGAGGCGCGGAGCTTCGGAGTGGTGCGCAGGATCACGCGGGTCACTCGACAACGACCGCCGTCGCAAGAGGAGGTCGAGTACCCTCTGATGGAGGGTACTTGGTCTTCTCTTCTACGCCGGGCCAGTCATCCCGGAAGGACGAGCGGTTAGCACACCCACACTTTACCCCGCCAACGCGTGAACTGCCAATCCGGCCGTAAAAATTCGCGCAGATAATTTGCATGCAATTTTTGCATACGACTTTTGTACGCGGTACATTTGCGCCTCCGATTACGCACGGTTGTTCCACGTGCGGATCGAAAGAAGTTCGACGTGCGGACGCGCTTACGTTGCAAATCATCGACTCCCACGCGCGGCTTGCGACTGTGAGAACCGATTTCGACCGACGAATCGACGCGCGGTTACGATCCGTCGTTTCGGCATAAATGAGCGAGCATGGCCAAGGCCTTCATTCAGCAGTGGACGGAGCACGGACGATGATGATGATGAGGATGATGAGGATGATGAGGATGGTGAGGGCAGACCCGGGTCAATGTGGTGATATATAGATGCAATGGAGAGCGGGGAAGGGTCGCTTTGTTAGCAAATGGAATTTGAACGAGAACAAATAAATTGGACTTGGCCATGACGCCATTGTTACGCTGCGGCGAGAAGCAGACAATGATGGGAGTGGAACGACGGCCAAAGGTGGGAGCATGCCCACGAGGTTTTAATCCAGCAGCAGAGAGAGCGGGCATGATCATGATGACGACGTCACAAAGACTAGGTTGAATGAAACGTATAATGGAAGAAGAGTGCCCTCTGCCACGCAGAGCTGTTATGACAGGTGGAATGCCAACTGTTTTATTCGAGAAAATGAGTGAATTCTCCAACAACGTCACAAAACGAAATCGTGCTGACTACTACTATATTATCATCATCATCATCCACGATCTATGCACTGCGAGATGAAGGCCTCCCCGTACCGTCGCCATCAGTCACGAGATCACGCGGGTGACGGGAAAAATGCATAGGGACAGAGAGAGAGAGAGTGGGAGAGAACGGAGAGGTACTGGAGCCTCTGTGCGTTACGCAGAGAGACACATCATCGGCTCCCGGAGAAGTGCATTTATTTTCACGGTGACCCGTGTGAGACGCGAGGACCACGGTGCACTTCTTCCTTATTCAGGAACTGCTGATGGATGTTTTTTTTGCATAACGCACAAAGGCCTTCAGTGCTTCATTGTACAGTGCACGTTACAATGGATTTACATGAATACATACCTGTCAACCCCTTACCAGCGCCCTACCTTATTACCGAGCAACTCAGACCTTACTGGTCACCCCGTGCCCCGTATAAATTTCAACGTTCATCCTACAAAGTCCCCATCACAAGGGAGAAACACAAACAAATAGACAATTATTTTTTTTGCCCGTATTGAAACGGCTGGACGCCGTATGGACCTGAAAACTCAATTTCCTGCACAAGAATATGGGGTATAATTATAAACCGTGTGGGTTGACAGCTAAGGCACACCCACCCACACACTCACCCACACACTTACCCACCCACACACTTACCCACCCACACACTTTCCCACCCACACACTCACCCACACACTCACCCACACACTCACCCACACACTCACTCACCCACACACTTACCCATCCACATACTCACCCACACACTCACTCACCCACACACTTACCCACCCGCACACTTACCCACCCACACACTCACCCACACACTTACCCACCCACACACTCACCCACACACTTACCCACACACACTCACCCACTCACCCACCGACACACTCACCCACACACTCTCATACCTAAATAATGCCGATCTTTTGCCCATATTGAAACGGCTGTATGTCGTATGCACCTGAAAACCCAATTTCCCTGTACAAGAATACGGGGTAAACCGTATGGGCTGACAGCTATGTGAATACATTAACCCCCCCCGCCCCCAACACACTCTGGTCTTCACACCTGATTGGCTCGCAAGTGACTACTTCACATTTATCCCTTCCGTCTATTTAAGACCGAAACAGGGAGAAGGATTTCTCCACAACTCTGTGCTATCGCCTGATGATGCTGGTCGTCATTACCGGTGAAACGTCACGGAACTCGAATTGTAAATGTTTTCGTGGGTTTTACTCTGCAACACTCAATCGGTGAGCGGTGTACTAGTGACGAATTGGCACGCTTTGTTTACGTGACAAACCTTCATAATTGGCCGTGTCGGGTGGTGGGTGGTTTAAGGACACATTTATATTTACGCGATCTAACCCAAAAACCTCTATTATGGATAATTATTGATCGCGAAAACTGACAGTACACGTTTTTGCGCGTTGTTTGAAGCCTGCGGTTCTCCGACCCTTCGCTATTTTCTTCTGTTACGATGGCGTTCTTCCCCCCGTGATTGAACAGATTTGAGAGAGACACAGACAAGCCCACAAACGTGGAGGTACAGACAGACGGCGACAAGGCACCGGTGCGAAGATGCAAGAACGAGAGACGGAGAGACAGAGAGAGACGCACGCAGACAGGCAGGCAGGCAGAGACAGAAACAAATTTGCAGAGTGACAAGAGAGGATTCTGGGGGTGCAGAGCCGGTCGGATTCCGGGGAAACGAAGTCCGTGGTCTGTGCAAGATGCGTCTCATTCAGACGTTGCCTTCCCATCAGGGGCGGAGCCACAGGGGGGGCTGGGGGGGGGCTCAGCCCCCCCTGAAATTTTGGGAAAGTCGGTAATCGGGATAACCGGATATCCGGCTGTTGCAAAATGCTGCAGGCTGCCACCTCGTGCTGCCCTGCAGGCTGCCACCTCGTGCTGCCACCTCGTGCTGCCCTGCAGGCTGCCACCTTGTGTGCTGCCCTGCAGGCTGCCACCTTTTGCTGCCACTTTGTGCTGCCCTGCAGGCTGCCACCTTGTGTGCTGCCCTGCAGGCTGTCACCTCGTGCTGCCACCTTGTGCTGCCCTGCAGGCTGCTTGAGCGGCAGCCTTTCGAACTTATCGAACTTATTAGCCACGTCAGCGGCTCCGACCTATTAATAAACTCCGCGTTCAAATCCAATAAAATTTGTTTTATACATTTGTGGCGCCCATTGGAAAACATTACACTGGATATCTCAGAATATTGAAGTCAGCCCCCCCAAAGTCAAAATCCTGGCTACGCCCCTGTTTCCCATAAAATGTCAAAATAAGAGTAAGGTCTCAGAGTACGCGGCGGGGGTTAGGTTCCGTGTGCCCCTGCGTCAACGCGATTTCGCGCAAGTTGAAGTTGGCCTATACGAGTGTAGATATACAATGTATACACTACTACTATACACTACACTATACACTACTATATAAGAGAGTATACAAAATGTATGTTAATAAACATAAAAGTTTAATCAAGTACAGGCCTTTACAGTAAATAATTCACTAATCATCGGTAGCATTCAGATCAGATAGAACACTATATTATTAACACTACATAAGTTTTATTATTAACACTATATTAATAACACCATATTATTAAGACTAGAAATTATAAACACGATATTATTATTATTAACACTATATTATTATTAACGCTATATATTATTTACACTGGATTTGAATACTTAGAGATTTCGTTTCTTGTGCGGGCGATACGGTCGCACGCCCTCAAATCCACGTGCGCGTGATGGCAGGGGGGGGGGGGGGCGGGGGCGATGTGACTCCCCGCTTCTTTCCCCCCTGTGGGTGTAGCGAAAGTCCGAGTCACCCAAAGCGTGAGTACGAATCGGGGTCGGTCGCGTACGAGCGGGTGTGCCTACTCTGAGCCCGCGTACTCTGAAACCTCGCCGTACTTTGTTCACTACTTTTAACTTTCTTACGCCGCTTGTTGCGCGCGGGGTTGCAATTTACTCTGCTCGGTCGGCGTTAGCCGCTGAGGTCGTGACGGGTTTCTCTTTTCACCCCTGCTCGCTCCGCGTGCCCCCTGTACCGCTCCCGTTCCGCTGCAATGTGCCATCGAGGGCGATGGTGGCACGCGTTTATGAAGACCGATCGATTGACCGATTGAAACGCTGCTCGGTGTACGTACGTTGAACGTCCTTCGCGCCGCACGTAGCCGAGCCGTGCTCGGCGGGAGGGCTCGGATACTCACGATGACGGTGACGCCCTGCTCCTTGCAGAGAGTGGCTACGGCGCTCAGTGTCACCGACAGCACGATCCACGTCGCGGAAACACTCGCGGCCCCGTGCTCCGAGCCTGTGTGGGAGGGGGAGACAGGGAGCGGTCGTTGCGCGATAGCTGTCGCTAAGACGATCCGATGACAGCGTTGTTCCACCGGGTTGCTGTTATGGACCTACCCTTGCGGTTAACTGTTACGTGAATAAAAAGTGGTGGCTTTTCGTATTTGTTTTGTGTCGCTCGCTCGCTCGATCAGTCGGTGCATCGCCGGCTCGCAACGCGCAGTAACGCTCGGTACACCGGCATACGGCGTCGCCTAGCTGTGATGTAACGCGCGGTCACGGTCGGCTCACCGGTGAACGCCGCCGCGTAGCTGATGAAGGAGAGGAAGAAGAAGAGGGCGCACAGCAGGTCGGCGCGACCGACGACGCCGGCGACCTGGGGCAGGACGACGGCACAACGCGGGACGCGCACGCTTCGTCACGACACAATGCACGGACACGCACCGTGCACGCGTGTGTGCACGCTGCGTATGTTGAACTTCTTTCGCACCTGACGTAGGCGACCGTGCGAATCGGTTGCCTACGTTTACAAAGTGAACACAAAAAAGCAGTTCGAAATAAATGAATTTGTCAATCTAGATGATGATTTAAAAGCGCATAGCTCCAGTGGCTTCCGAATATCAGAAGGAAGAGCGTTCCAGACGGCCGCAGAGGCGCATGTGAAAGCGCGCGATACAGTAACCGCGTGCATTTGTGTCAATGCATCACAATGCATGGACAGGTACCGCGCGTGTGCGTTTGTGTCAAAGCGTCACAACAACAACAGCACTAGGACACTATCCTTGCGTGTGCGTTTGTTTCAGTCCGTCATAACACAATCCGACGCAGATGTCGCTCCACTCGCCACCGATGTCAGCCATGGCCCGGAGTCAAACTCGGCGCGACTGCGTTTGAAGCACGTCTTGCACTGCCCGTGTACGTGTCAATGCTCTGGAACGCACGGACGCGTGTTCACGTTGCGTGCGTCACAGCAGCTTCAAGACACAACGCGCAACAATGTAAGATTCTCTCTATATATAGCGACCTGCAATGGCAGTGGTGAGCAATCTAATGGATCGGAGAGCTCATTGTGCAAATCCACTGTGACGCTGTTGAAATCCTTTCAACGTACGTGACATAGGTGACCAATGAGACGCGCGTGGCCAGTGATGGAGCCGCCGATTTCATGGCAACAGTGGGATTATTCACCGTGTCATGTGCTACGATTCATAGCTACTGTCGAAAGCACCACGTGTTTTATATATAGACACATTTGTTTTTGACGAATACGCCGCAGCAATGCCAGCCAGAGGCCACTTTGCGTGCCATTTCTGCTGCCAGCTCAACAAAGAGGCACACTCGTGGAGTGTCGGCACACCGTGGTTAGTTTAAGATTCCTCGAACACAATGGACTAGCGTCGGTTGCGAAATCAACTGTCGCTCTTCAACATCAGTCCCGACGCTCCATGAATATGATGCAAAGATGGAAGGCAGGTCATTGCACATGCAGGACACGTGTGAATGCAGTGCTGCATGACAGGCAAATGTTTTATTGTGTACGTGGCAATGCGGAGTATTTAAGTTACTCGATCTGCAATAGATTTGTGATGTGAACGCAAAGCAACGTTAAATTCACGGTCACAAATGCTACGATAGCACCGCCAATGCCAATTTTAACGGTACAACAAAAATAAACTGAAATGTTGGCTCATCCGGGATTTAAACTATTGGCATTACTCTCACACTCGCAGTGAGAACCACAGCCCAGACTAAGAGCCCAAAACGCCACGTGGCAATCAACTCTGTATGTGAGCCACGTGTACACAAAAAAGACAGGAAACAACCTAACGTGTTACTTGGACCACACTGAACCAGTCGTTGCAACACTACTGCGTTGGTTATTACGATTGTGCTGTACGGAGAACATACTTGGAGAACTGCATCCTGTTCCTGAAGAAGCTACCAGCACGTGGAGTGAAACGCCGGGCATTATTATATAACAAACAGTTAAACACGCGTTTCACAGAAGGGAGTAAACAAGTTATAATGTTGATTTCTGAATATCAAGATTGCAATGCAATAAAAAATAAAATGCAGGGCTCGTCCGGGATTTGAACCCGGGACCTCTCGCACCCAAAGCGAGAATCATACCCCTAGACCAACGAGCCAGTTCCTGACATGTGTGATCAAGCCGCCTTTTATGAGGGGCAAACTCGGCATTTAGCAAAGTTCAGGTAATTCGTGGGCTTTCGTGAGAATAATAAAACCTGAAGGTGACATCACTACAAATGTATGCCTGAACAAACAGCGCAACGAGTGCACGTACTGTAATGTCAAACCATCTCTCGAGAAACGAACCCTGACTTTTACCTTTTAAACAATTAACAGGAATTAAAAACAAAATAGAGGCGCAGCCCTGCAATTGCCAGCTCACGCCAAAGCTGTCAGAAATGGAAGAAATTTTCGTTAAAATAATAATGCTCCAGGGCTCGTCCGGGATTTGAACCCGGGACCTCTCGCACCCTAAGCGAGAATCATACCCCTAGACCAACGAGCCAGCCACACACGATCACCAACTTGTCCACAATGTGAGGTTATTGAAACGAAACAAAAAGTTGAACCCCGTGAGGGCCGTCCATAATTGACGTCACGCGATTTTGGACGATTTTTGAACCCCCTCCTCCTTCGTCACACGACGTCACAAAAAGTCAGACCACCCTCAAATATGACGTCACAAAGCTCTGCCCCCCCCCCACACAAAAAATATATAAAACATGCTTCAAATCACTTTTTTATGCTTCAAATCGCTTGAAACTATTGTCATTGTAGTGCGTATTTAATGTGGCGCTGCACTCTGATGTTGTAGGAGAAAACATTTATTAAAAAGTCTATTTAATTAAATAGAACGTGTTGTCTATATTTATTTAAAGTTGCGAATTTTTATGTGACGTCACATTTCTCAAACCCCCCCCCCCCTCGTCACACATCGTCACAAATGTCTGACCACCCCCCCCCCAGGTGCGTGACGTCATTTATGGACGGCCCCTTAAATAAAGCGAGAGCCAGCCTTGCATCTTCTTCTGCCGTGGCTGATCACTGTTTTTTTCTCCGATACCAAGGTTCTTTGCAAACCCACGGGTTTTTATCAGAGATTTGTTCACGAGGCAATTCAGATCTACAAACACAGACACAATTTCAACCGAGAAGATGGTTTCAAATTAAGCAACCATTGGAAAGATGTTCTAAATCGAACTAAACATGAAACTAATTTCAATGGTACAGTATATTTTTCAAGTAGTGGTACCCCAAACTTTCGCAGCTCTTATAAATTCCCTTTTCACACCATCAATAGGTAAACTCCTCCCCCCCGCGCCAAACTGCGAGTCCACCGGCACGTACACCACCTCGTTTCTAAAATCGGCCAATCAAATGCTAATTTTTATGCTAATTCCTTTGTCAGGACACCTTGTTTGCTCGCACACAGCTTAAAGGTCGCGGTCTGAGCGTGGCTGTGTTTCACTCCAGCGCTGTCCTCGAGACAGCCTGATCCCTTCACCTGATGAAGGCCTCTTGTGTTGTGGCCGAAACGTCGTGATTTTCGTTGTTTTATTTTTTACCTACGTGACTTTACCGAATAGAACCAAAGAGTACAGCCTTGCATCGTTACAACACCGCCGCCTCCTTTGCCGATGTTGCATTTCACAGTGGACTTTGGCTGCTCGCCATCGAACAAAGACGGCGGTCACCGCACCGCGCGCTTTCACACGCGCTCCTGCGTCCGTCTGGAACGCTCTTCCTTCCGATATCAGGAAGTCGCCGGAGCTTTGTATTCTTAAATCCAGATTGAAAATGTATTTCGTTCGAACTTATTTTCGTGTTTCGTTTGTTGTCCTTCCCCCCCCCCCGCCGCCCGCACCTCGGATTAGCGCGGGTGGCTACGTACGGTGCGAAAGAAGTTCAACATTCGCGCATTTAAACAAAGAACATACTGAAGTCATGCCACCATTGGCAGTGGTGCATAACCACAACTAACAAACACATTGACCAGTCTCGTCCCTTCACCTGATGAAGGCCGCTTGTGTTGTGGCCGAAACGTCGTGAGAATATTATTGTGTTATTTTATTTTATCAATTTATTATTTTATTCTCATTCTACGTGACTTTACCGAAAGAACCAAAGAAGATGAATCATTGCAGTCACGAAAGCTTTAAATCGAAATTGACCAATGTGTTGAGATTTTCACTTCAATAAGTTCGGTAGTGGAAGTGTTTACACAGCTTCGGGTGAAACGCGTTGAGCTGGCCCAAACGCGAAATCCTGGGTGGAAATTCAGGGTAAACACACCGTGAATTTTAACTGGGGGTTCTCCAGCGCAGCGAGTTTCTTGTTAACATATAAGTGGGAAAAAAAAACCCCCATGCTGGGTGGGTCTCGAAACAAGAACCTCTCACAACCAAATCAAGACTCATTCCCCGAGACCAACGCAACGAGGTTGCAAGGAAATGGTATCACTCTGGTCACTAAAGAGACTGTGGGGGGAAAAAAACATTGGCAATTTGGAATTTTCGCTAAATTTGGACACATTCCAGCTTTGATCGTGGAAATGTTTTACATTAAATGTATTTACCTAATAATAGGGTTTTTCCCGTTTTTTTCTGGCAACAAAACTGAAACCTTTTTTTACGAGGATTCATGTTACTGCATTAACCACAATACCTGCAGTCAAAATGCAAACAAAAAACACACTATGATAATATATGCATTGTCCTTCAAACTTATTGGTCCACACCAGAGACGGCTTTCTTTTGAGCCTAGTCTCAATTGGTGCTCGACAAGATGACTGCAAGTATTGTGGTTAATGCAGACATGAACCCTCGTAAAAAAAGGGTTTCAGTTTTGTTGCCAGAAAAAAGGGGGAAAACCCTATTATTATATTTTGGTACTTGCAAAAGAGGTCCAATGATGTAGATGCTTAGCTCCGAGCCCTCATTACTTTGATAGTGGCATTGTCACCATGGGAAACCTCATTTGCCAGTAACAAAATATGATATTTTTTACCCTTTTATCTGGCAACAAAACTGACACCTTTTTTACAAGGAGTCATGTTTACATTGACCACAATACCTGCGGTCGGAACGCAAACAAAAAACAACAACTCTGATAATGTATGCACTGTATACATTATCAGAGTTGTATGCACTGTATACATTGTCAGAGTTGTTGTTTTTTGTTTGCGTTCCGACCGCAGGTATTGTGGTCAATGTAAACATGACTCCTTGTAAAAAAAGGTGTCAGTTTTGTTGCCAGATAAAAGGGTGAAAAACCAATTATCAGTGGCATTGTCTTTGAGTTGTACGCCTTTTGGCGTCATCTGGTCTTGCACCGTTTGAGACTAGGCTCTAAAGAAAGCCGTCTCTGGTGTGGACCAATCAGTTTGAAGGCCAATGCATTTTATCAGAATGTGTTTTTTGTTTGCATTTTGACTGCAGGTATTGTGGTTAATGCAGACATGAATCTTTTTGTTGCCAGAAAAAAGGAGGAAAACCCTATTATTATATTTTGGTACTGGCAAAGGAGGTTCAATGATGATGTATTTACCTACAATGCAAAGAACATTATTCATAATGTTACGTGACATAACGTACTGTATGGTGAAACATATAAAATTCGTAGCGAAAAAAGATGCATCCCTGGGGTTCATCCGGGATTTAACTGGCACCCTCTCGCACCCGAAGCGATAATCATACCCCGAGACCAACCAGAGTTTATATTTTAGATCAGCATTTTTTTTAAGTTCAGGTTATTCGTGGCCTTTCGTGAGAATAATAATGCTTGACGGTGACATCACTACACAAGTATGCCTGAGCAAACGGTGCAAAGAGTGTACGCGCTTCATTTGTGAAACCATCTCTCGGGAAACCAACCCTGACTTTTAGATTTTAAACATGAACGGTGAAATAAAAAGTTAGAGGCGCAGCGCTGCAATTGCCGGCTCGCGCTACTGCTGTCAGAACAGGAATAAGAATTCGATTAATAAAAATGTTTCCGGGCTCGTCCGGGATTTGAACCCGGGACCTCTCGCACCCTAAGCGAGAATCATACCCCTAGACCAACGAGCCAACCACACACACAGAGCCACGTGTCCACAATGTGAGGCTACAGCATCAGGCAGATGTGGCTGGCTCTTGAAAAGGAAAGTTCACATTCTTTAAACTTTTCTTTGCTAGAACAGCAATGCTTGATTTTGCCTTGACTTAACCGAACTAAAACACTAATTCGGTTGAGATACCAACTGGTATTTACTTAAAATGTTCTGTTTCGTAGGTGGTGGCTTGGAATAAAAGCATTGACCATGCACCATTGAAAATCTGAGTTTTAATCTGGGTAACCACACATTATCATTTAATTGGTTTCCCGGGTGTCACAAGTTAACGGTATCAGCCTGGTCACTATTGCCTGCACAAAGAAACCCATCACATTTAATCACTAGTCACCTTATTTGGCTGCATTCAAGCATTGGGAATTTAAAATAATAAAATGTATTTGATCACCGTGCAAGAAACATCCCTAGCATTGTTAAATTAAGCAAAGTTAAAAACTCATAGCAAAACATTGTTCATTTTGGATTTTCATTAAATTTGTATACGTTACAGCCTTCAATATTACAAAATATAACATCAATATAACAGCAATGCAATTTACTGTACATTGTTTATAACTTAACGTTATTTGGAAATAGGTAAAAAAATCACAAAAGTTCATTTTTCCTGGTTTCACCCGGGATTTTAACCTTTCAGACCCTAAGTGAGAATCATAACCCTAGACCATCATCATCATTCACTTGGTTCAAGTGTCAGAAGTTGATGGTATCAGCCTGGTCACTATTGACTGCACAAAAAACCCATCACATTTAATCTCTACTTTCACCTTATTTGGTCAGACACACACACACAGTCACGTGTCCACAATGTGAGCGTACAGCACCAGGCACATGTGGCGGCTGTTGAAACAACCACAAGAGTAAACCCCTTAAAGCAGCAGCCAGCTCTGCATCGTTACAACAGCACTGCCTCATTTTGCCCATCCTGCATTTGGTTGAGATGGTGACACGGAATCCTTTCACTGAAAAAAAATTGGCAATGGCATCATTGGCAGTGGCGCACGATCACAATGAACATACAACTGACCAATGTGTTGAGATCTTTACTTTAATAAGTTCCGTCTTAGACGTGTTTATATAGCTCAGGGTAGAAAAAGCTGACCCAAGGCACAATCCGGGTTGAAAACTGGGTAAACACACCATCAATGAAACTGGGTGCCCAAGTATAAGCAAGTTTCTCGCTTATATTAAAATATAAAAACCTTGGGCTCGTCCGGGATTTGAACCCGGGACCTCTCGCACCCAAAGCGAGAATCATACCCCTAGACCAACGAGCCAGCTGTGTTAATCGTTCAGCAAACAGTCTTTTAGCAGGTGGCATTTAACATATCCTGTATGATGAGTATTCAATAAGAGTTCAGATTCTTACGCTTCGGCGAAAGTGCCCGAGGCTAAGAAACCAAAGCAGAGAGATGTGTCGTCACAAACAGTGCAATAGTGTCCAGATAATAAATCCTGATTTTTTTTACACTTTCAGCATACAATAGAGACCTTGATATGCACAAGTAACTTATAGGGTCGACTGTACAAAGTTTCATCAGGCTTTTGCCACCAATATTATCCATAACATAGTTTTTTGGGTAAGATCCTACATATATTTAATCGTAGACATATTTACCTATAATAAAAAAAACACATATTTACCGTTAAATATATTTACGGTTTAACCCAAAAACCTATATTATGGATAAAATGATATATCAGCCAAAAGTAATGGGCTGGTCCGGGATTTGAACCCAGGACCTCTACAAAGCGAGAATCATACCCCTAGACCAACGAGCCAACTGGTAAGCCCCTTCTTGCAAGCATCCCTTTAGGGGTGGGACTGCACATTGCATGCATATTCAAACAAATTTCAACAAATCTTTTTTTTATGTGACAAATCTGCCCAAACCAGCAGCGATTTCATTCTGATCATAAACGTCGCAAGAGATAAGGGTTAGTGACTTAAAAGTTAATTGTGGCGTCAAAGTGAGATCATAACTCTCACTCGCGCAATGTTGTTTGGGAAAGACATCATCACTCCCACTGCACCAGCCAATGTTAATGATATTCATTATTGATTATGTAATCCAATACGTTACTATACTTATTTTCAATTACGAACAACTCACGAGCGATCCTTTCCACTCGTAAGATTTATCGCAAAGTTACCAGCGCCCAGCATTGTAGCGCTCTTGTTTACTCGGCATTACTTACGATATTATAAAACTTACAACATTGCTGACGACATTGCTACGTCATTAGACCTCCTTTGCCAGTACCAAAATATAATAATAGGGGTTTTCCCCCATTTTTCTGGCAACAAAACTGAAACTTTTTTTACAAGGATTCATGTTACTGTATTAACCACAATACCTGCAGTCAAAATGCAAACAAAAAACATACTATGATAATATATGATGCATTGTCCTTGAAACTGATCGGTCCACACCAAGGGACGGCTTTCTTTTGAGCCTCCACCCAATTGGTGCTCGACCAGATGACGCCAAAAGTGAGATCATAACTGCAGGTATTGTGGTTAATGCAGGCATGAATCCTCGTAAAAAAAGGTTTCAGTTTTGTTGCCAGAAAAAAGGGGGAAAACCCTGTAATGACATTGCTATGCTTTCTGTCTTCCTCGATTGTACTGTAAACTTCCTGGATTTTCCCGAAAAATGTTTGAGATAATGTGAAGAAAAATGTCGTATAGAATCGTAACATTTGGATGCGTCAATTGTTCTTCAGCTTTACCGGTAAGCTAGCGTAATATCCTCTCACTGGCAAAATATTTGAACCGGTCCTGGGCCTCCATTAGGTCGACTCAGCTTTTCATGAGTACCTGGGTATCTGTGGTGTAAACAAAGGCGGCCAGGCGTGGCGTTGAAGACCCACCCACCCCCTCGTGTGCCGTGCCGGCCCTCATACGTGCCACGGTGGTGAGATGTTAACTACCTCGCCTGGAATACGGGGGGGCGTGAGTCCAACAACGACCACCACCGACGCCCTATGTTTGGAGTTCGCATGTTCTCACCGTGCTCCTGTGCATTTTTCTCCAGGTCCTCTGGTTTTTTTCCCCCTCCACATTTAGAAACATGCATTTAGAGCATTTGGCTGCTATGGATTTTCACTTGACAAGCCACTTCGTTGTTTTATACTTTGTGCTAGCCAGGTCGCTTCTGACAAAGAGCTATACAGCTCAGTGGGTCTTACCTGGTAAAAAAAAAAAATTAAATATTGTTTAAATAGTTTTTAGTTTGACAGCTGCTACTGCCGCTACACTAGAACAGCAATCGCCCCCCCTCGACAGCCTGTCCGTTAAAGTCTATGCAGAGGATCTTCGTCTTGTTGCACGCGCGCACACGCACAGGGACTCACGCTCTCCGCGTGCACGGGGTGCACGGCGAACATGACGGAGGCGAGCAGCGCCGTGCGACACGCCGGCGATCCGCGGGACCCGCGCCACCCGACCAGCAGGCAGCAGACGTCGTAGAGCAGAGCCGAGACGACGGAGTGCAGCGCGATGTTCACCAGGTGGAACCCCGTCGGGTTCAGCCCTCCGCTCGCCCAGTAGTTGAACCTGGTGGACGCCAAGCGGGGCGATCGTCACGCACCGTCGGCGAAGGACCGTTCTGCCTGCTCACATCATTGACGTGCTGCAACCCATGTGTCCCCCTCAAGGTCCCTACGATGCGGGGATGCAGATCTTCTCTGCATCCCCGGGTCGAGACTTCGGTCGATTGGTGACCGAGATTTTTAACCCCGTGTAGTCCCAAGGCTCTGGAACGCAATTCCCACGAGGGGTCTCTGCAAGTCCGTGGACATTTTAAAAATGCGTCTTCAACCCTATTCATACGCTCGCGCTTGTTAAACTTTTAATTAAGTTAGTAAATGGATTCTTAAAATGTATTTATAATTATTTTGATGCTGAGTGTCTGCTGCTGCTGTGTCCTGTACAGCGCTTTGAGATCCTTGATGAAAAGCCGCTATATAAATGGAATTATTATATGTACATTGATGAGTAGATTACATTGATAGTATTTGGGGGGCCCATTTGCTTGCATATTTTGTATTTTCAATTAATTTCCTTCACTGTTTCAGCACCAACCATGCCTGATGATGCCAAACACTCCCTTGGTCCTGTTGTAGAGTGCAGATTGGAGATGCTTAGATTCGGAATCAGAATCTTTCATTTCGACGGCAGGAGGAGGGAATCCGATAAGCTATGAAGCTCATAATACAGGGGTTTTTTTTTAGGGGAGTTAGATCGAGAGAAAAATAACTGTATTCTGGATATTTGTCGTGAAAGCAGGAATGAAAGCTCTTTTCTAGATTTAAAGCTTTCGTCACTGTTAGGTAAAAAAATACCTACGTGACTTTACCCAATAGAACCAAAGAGTAATGAAGCTCTTTGTTCACAGGTGTGCCAGCATGGGACTGGTCAGCAAGAGTGTTGGCGTACAGAGTCGCGAGGAACTCCCTCAGTAATGCGGGGTCCTCTGCGATAGTCCATTATCGACGGAGACAATTTGAAATCGGTCGGATAGGTCGTTGCAAATCAATTTGATTGGACAATCTTGAAACATTAAAGGCGCTTTAAAGCCTTTGCAACGTTAGAGCGTCATCCATGGTGCAACGATGCCATCTGCTGGACAACGAGTTTAAAACAATTATAATCTTAAGACTGGGTGAATAAGTTTTAGTGAGTGATTAATAAGTAACAACTGTATAAGACTTGTCAACATTTTAGACGTTTAAACTTAACAAACGTAAGAACTGAAACACATCATGGCATTTCTGAGATGGGGGGGAAGAGAATCGTTAAGTTGAAAAAGGTGATAACATTTCTGGGAAAACATCATCAAGTTCAGCACGGTATATCAAATAGTTTCATGTGACAATTAAACTATTTACCTGTACGTAATAATATTTTGCCTTTTCCCACACAAAATAATAAAAGCCTGGGCTCGTCCGGGATTTGAACCCGGGACCTCTCGCACCCTAAGCGAGAATCATACCCCTAGACCAACGAGCCAGCTAAGTTTGCCTCCCATATGTGAAGGCTATGTGAGCGAGAAAGTCAGCATGTGGTCACAAACTACAATGCGAAACCAAAAAACAATCTCTTACTTTTACATTTTATATGGCTCTCTTTTTTATGAACTTATTTTTTACGGACCAAACGACGCGTACATTTAGCCTGTTTTAACAATGCTGAACATCTCTGGGGATGTGCGTAAGTTAATCACTAAAAAAAATTAATGGGCTCGTCCGGGATTTGAACCCGGGACCTCTCGCACCCAAAGCGAGAATCATACCCCTAGACCAACGAGCCAGCTGACTCCAGCCATACAAGGAATGCACTTAATGCTGCCACGTTGCGCTGCTCTGTTTCGCAATTGTTTACCTTAACCTACAGGGGGCAGTATTGAGGGTGGGAGCAGTGTAAAATGTCACACGTGGCAGTGTGGCAAGCCTTCTCAAGGCTTCACACAAGTGTGCTTAAGAAAATTAAAACCCTACGGGAAACAACATAAAAACAAGTTAAAGAATATAACTTTTTTTAAAGTTGATGACCTATGAAAAATATGTATAAAGCAATTCACAATATTGTATCAGCTGTGTGCAAAACATGAGATTAGCATACACTTCACAGCACTTATGTGGCTGTGCAATTCCTGAATTATTAGGATCTTATAAAAATAGCTAAAAAAAAATTGAAAAAGGGCTCGTCCGGGATTTGAACCCGGGACCTCTCGCACCCTAAGCGAGAATCATACCCCTAGACCAACGAGCCAGCCACGAACTTGTCTCCCCAATGTGGGAATTTAGCATCAGGCACATGTGCTGGGAATTGCATTTTTTTAAAAGTTCACTCACAGTAGGAGCCAGCCAGCCTTGCGCTGTTGGAACAGCAGGACCTGCATTTTTGCCCATACTGAATTGTGCACATTGAAATGCTAATTTTGGTGAAATATTGGGTTTTCTCTTTGGCTAATTTCCTACCTGTGTAAAATATATTCCCTCTAAGGTCAAAGTATTACTGATAAACGTGAATGCAGAAGCAAAATAATTTGTATGTTTAACTTATTTTACACCGTACGTAGCCAACCGTGCTAATCGGAAGGGTGAGGGAAGACCAAGAAACTGCACACCAAAGGCAGAGTTGTTGAACACACAGGGTGATTCACTGCTGTGTAAGAGTTCCAGATGTATTATATGTCTCATGATATGAAGACAACAATACGCTTGGACAATCTGACGCTTGGACAATCTGAAAACAGTACTGGCTAGGGAACTGAATTTTGCTGTCACCCCAAAACACATACCAGTAGATGATATCATCGCTCAGGTCAATGTAGCCCTCAAAGGCGTGGGACACATCCAAGCAGACGTTGCGAGAGCTGAAATAGCCACTATTCTTAAGAATGCTAAGAAACCCATTAGTAACATCAGCAAAAATGAACGCTCTGAACTCGCAAATTTAAAAAACAGAAGTGATATAGTCATCCTCTCAGCCGATAAAGGCAACGCTACTGTAATTATGGATAAAGATTCATACAACAGCAAAATCCAGAATCTGCTCAACGATGGAAGTTACTCAAAAATTAAAAATGACTCGACCAATAGCCTAACGATAAAAACCAACAAGATCATCACAAGTTCGACCTCCCTAATCGACCCAACTAAACGTCCCTCCCTAAAACCTTCTGCTGCAAGACCCCCTAGATTCTATGGTCTTCCCAAGATTCATAAAGAAGGCACCCCACTACGACCCATCGTATCCACGATCAACTCCGCTACCTATAGACTGGCCCGTTTTCTGTCAGATACCTTGCTGCCTTTCACTGGCAAGACTGCCTCAGCAGTACTTAACTCAGCCCAATTGGTCTCTATGGTCAAAGACGTTGTACGATATCCTTGTCAGCTTCGATGTGGTCTCTTTGTTCACCAAGGTCCCAGTACCTGATACCATTGAAATAATTGAAAATTTGGTCCAACATGGACTAGACCCCGATACACCTGCACTGGTTAGGCACTGCCTCAACAATACAGACTTTACTTGGAATGGCTCCTTCTACAAACAAAATGAGGGTACCCCCATGGGATCCCCCTTGTCACCAGTGATAGCCAATATTTTCATGGAGAAATTTGAATCAGATGCCATCCAGACTTCCACCCTCAGACCTTCCCTGTGGAAGAGATATGTGGATGACACTTTCGTCATGTGGCCACATGGCCTTCCAGCTCTGAACCTTTTCCTACACCATATCAATTCCAGACATCCCACCATCAAATTCACCATGGAGGTGGAGAAAGATGGCAAGCTACCATTCTTGGATGTTCTGTTTGAGAGGAGACCTGATGGCTCATTGGGGCATTCTGTCTACAGGAAGCCCACCCACACGGATTCCTACTTGAAGCCTGATTCCCACCACCACCCAGCCCAGAAGAATTCTCTCATCAAAACTTTATACCATAGGGCTCATTGCATTTCGGACCAACACCACCTGACCAGTGAATTAAAACATGTACACCTGGCCCTCAAAAGGAATGAATACTCTGACCGTACCATCCGCCAAGCTGTTTCTCCCTCCATACAGAAACAACCACTTGATACTCCGGTCAAAACCATCACACTACCATATATAGCAGGCGTTACTAAAAAGGTTTTCCAAAATTCTAAACAAACACAAGATCCAGGTCCGGTTCAATACAGTACACAAAATTCGTGATCTGATCCCATCCGTGAAGGATGTCATTCCTGACTTACAGTACCCCGGGGTTTACAAATTGAGTTGTACCTGCGGTGATTGCTATATCGGGGAGACAAAGCGACATGTCTCTGACCGAATTCGCGAGCACAAATCAGATTTGAAACACGGCAAAACGAAATATTCTGCCGTAGCTGATCACTGTTACAACGCTGTGGGTGATCACGATATAATTTTCTCCGATACCAAGGTTCTTTGCAAACCCACGGGTTTTTATCAGATTTGTTCACGAGGCAATTCAGATCTACAAGCACAGACACAATTTCAACAGAGAAGATGGTTTCAAATTAAGCAACCATTGGAAAGATGTTCTAAATCGAACCAAACATTAAACTAATTTCAGTGGTACAGTATATTTTTCAAGTAGTGGTACACCAAACTTTCGCAGCTCTTAAATTCCCCTTTCACACCATCAAGATGTAAACTCCCCCCCCCCCCGCCAACTGGCATGTGCACCTGTACAACACCTCTATGCTAAGTCGGCCAATCAAATGCTAATTTTTATGCTAATTCCTATGTGAAGGCACCTTGTTTCCCCGCACACAGCTTAAAGGTCGTGGTCTGAGCGTGGCTGTGTTTCACTCCAGCGCTGTCCTCGAAACAGCCTGATCCCTTCACCTGATGAAGGCCGCTTGTGTTGTGGCCGAAACGTCGTGATTTATGTTGTTTTATTTTTTACCTACGTAACTTTTCCGAATAGAACCAAAGAGTATGGATCCTTGCAGTCACGAAAGCTTTAAATCTAGAATACGCTTGAAATCAAATTTGGTATAAAACAATAATAATTTAATCTTCATTTTCCCGA